AAGTGTGCCTGCGAATTGCATTGCCTCCTGGGAGCAGCGTTGCCAGTATTCCAGATTTATCTGCATTTTACAGATTTTCAGTTGTCTTGCCAGATACACAGACAGATCACGTTTATTTCCAGATTTTTTAAATATGTTCCAGATTTTTAAAATGTGCTGCTTTATAAATATCACTGGAATGGACCCTCTTATAAAGAAAAGCCAAACTTACTACTTTAATTACTAAAGGCCATCAACGTTGGACATTATTGCAACATCATACATGGAATTGTTACAACATGGTTGCAATGGGTTGCAGAATCATGAAAATTGAAACATTTTCTTTACATTGTTGGCTGAAAACTGTCTTCAAATTTTTAAAAATATCGAGCCAGTTTTTGTTTGATTTTGAGTTTTTGTTTAGATTTTGACTGTAATTATTTATTTTTTGAATCCTGGATTTATAAAAATCAATATTTCAATATGAAGGAAGTTCCTTACTTTTGGAATTTAGAGAAATCGAAAACTGTTCAGGTTTGAAAACAATAAATTGAGCTTTGGAAAATTAGCAAGGCTTTTGAATCTAGACAACCACCAGGACTTTGAAGTATGTTCGTGATTTTGAGGATAATTAATTAGATTTCTTAATAGAGTTTTAAAGTACCTGTGAATATTGAGTTACCTTAGCAGTCTGAAATACTTTAGAATTCTGAATTGCCCTAGATTACACAATTTTAAGGGAACTCTGAAAATAGTTTACAGTGAAGTGTAAGTATGCAGTCTGTGCAACCTTTGATTGAAGTGAAGACGGTATAAATTGACTTTTGCAAACTCTAATGACAATTGCATGGAGATTTTGTGAAGAAAGGAAATAGTTAGAATTCGGAAGAGAAATCATAGAAAATTCTTAAGATGAAACTTAAGGAGAATGCTGATACGAATCGTGAAAATAATTTCAATTGGATTCTGTCCAATGTTTCTATGGAGATTAATTTTTAAGAAATCTGGCAATTATGGGAAACTTTCAAGGCCTTTTTGGCAAAGTACTTGAATACTTAGGAAATACTGAAGAGGATTTTAAAACAATTCTGATATTACCTACAAAGCAGTTCAAAGGATATGTCTGAGAAGAATGTGACGGTCATTCTGAAGAGCGTACCAAGGACATTATTAAGAATATTCTCCGGGAATTTCACAGAGTAAAAATTGAGACAAAATTATTTCAATTCTTGGAAATTATTTCCAGCTTGAGGGAATTGTGGAATCAGAGAGCAATTTATAAGAGATTACAAGAGATAATGCTAAGAACTCTTAGAATGTTATAAGTTTGGATATTATCAAGATTAGTTTAGGGGAATCCAGAATAAAAGTATGATGAAATTCTAGGATGATTAAAATTGAACTCTGTAAATGAAGTATATTCAGACTAACAAACAATTTCATGATCTGGGAGCCAGGAAAAATATAAATTCCAGAATTTAGGATCCTTTCAAGATTCTGAGACTGCAAAAATGACGCTTTCAGACTTTCATTTTAGTTATAAAATAATATTATTCTTTGGCATACAATTATTTGTAATGGTCATGTGCAGTTATCCGTAGTTCAAGTAAACTGTGTGTGAGTACCACGATGTTAGGTTTTGATTCTCACTTTAGCCAGGAGAATTTTAGTTTGAAATAAAATTGCCTACTGGTCTACCGAGTGTTGTGAGCTGTATGATGTCAAGAATGAAATTGGAAGTCTGATCAATCGCAGAGTAATATTACAATTACTTAAAACTAATAACAAGACATATTCTGGTACTGTATCAAATATTAAGGACTAAATCGTCTATTAGTTAAAAAAAATCATACTATCAAAGTTGCTTGACTCTTTGCTGCCTTATAATCTTAAAAATATTTTCTGCAGTATTTTACCAAAAATTTAAATCAATTTTGAAATGCTGCGTAATGGATATTTAAACTTTTTGGGAACACTGTGTCAATACTTTTCTTAACTTTTGGATGATTTTAGCAATGCTAACAAGTTGGCTTTATATATTTTTTAAAACATGGATTTCATAAACATTCTGGATTTTTACGGAGATTGACGCATCACTTTGATATCAGTAGCATTATGTTAAAAACAGGATTGTATATGAGCTTTCCAGATTCGTCCAGATTTTATATTTAGACTGGTTCAGGTTTTTCAGAAAATGACCTGGCAACGCTGCCTGGGTGGCCGGTTCAACGTGTTCGGATGTCACGCTTTCATCGTGTAGTTCTATCGAGAGTCTTTCAGAAGTGATAGTTTTTGTTTAACTGTAGAAGGATATAAATCGTCCTCTAATCTATGGGAGCTCTTCGAAATCGCCGTTAAGTAATGGATTCCTTTGCAACATGTCGGGTGAGAACTTTCCTTTATTATTCTCTTAACATTCATTCCATTATTATATGACACATTATATGCTGGGTATGAGACGGTCCAACCAGGGCACCCGATTGAAGCGATTTAGATGGGGAGAGTGGAATTGCCAACTTCCTGTCGTTAACAGTTCGGGAATTGAAGGCGGGCTCTTCTTTCCCACTCATTGGGACATCCCCTAGTGCGATGGCTTGTACATTACCGGGTTGTAGGATTTTATTGTTGGCAGGAGATTCTCTTTAATCCCGCGGACTAAGCGTAAGTGTCTCTGCTTACAGGTTCGCCCTCCGTTTTTGGCCCTTTCATACAATGGTAAATTGAATACAATCAGGTGTTGTACTTGATCAAGTCGTACGAGGTGGACAGTCCACTGTCTAATGGTTGTGCCTGCAACAATGAGTGGTTTCCTTTACATACATATATAACAAACATTTGTACGTATCGACATCGACTTCTATTACAACACTAAACTTGTTATAAGTGAAGCGTGGATTTTCAAACATGTTCACTACTTTTACATAATTTATAGTGATGTCTTCGTTTTGACTTGTTAAGGAGTCAATGAAGACATCGGAGGAATACTGATCGCTCATGCCCACTATTTTCAATCTTGGCACCGAAGTGGGAACAACAGCACTATATTTTCACACAGATTGCTTTCAATACCAGTTTTTACATCATTTAGATTAGCTGCTGTTGCACACTCAACAATAATAGAGTCATCTTTACCATTCCTAAAATTACTGATGTTGTGTGTTTTTGGGTCTAACTGTGTTTTCAAAAACTCAGCAACACAAAGGCTTTCGGTAAAATGGCATTCGGTCAAATTTTCCATACTATTTTTTTCGCGCCTCCCTAGCTTGAAACCTGGCTACGCCCGTGTTAAGCCTGCAATAGACTTTTTGTAAAATATGTCCAATAAGTTGATTTTCAAGCGGGTGGCCACATTGCCCCACTTTTCCCTATATCTTACATTTTTTACAAGAATAACGGATACAAGCACATCATAATGTTGCTATACTTTGCACCACACTTCTTTCAGTCGTGGAAATCACATAAGATTTACGTGAAACGCACATAGAAACATTGTATGTGAACTTCACGTAAATGTAATTAACAATGTAAGTGTATTTCGTCGGGATTCCCTTGGATTCCCACGTAAAACTGAGGGAAAAGGAAAACGTGAGAACTTATGTGATTTTTTACGTAGCTTCAACGTTTCGATTACGTTGTGTGTATGGGCTCAGATTTGGGGACACCAATCATACTTATGGTTAGTGCGCTGTGCATTCACTGCATTCACCACAATCGAACTAAATACTTCTGTCTACTGCAATTTCCTTTGAAATTATGTTCTTACTTCGGACACCAACCAACAACGCTTTGACCACCAATGAGCGTGCTGGATAAACTAGAGCGACGCCTGTTGGACGATATCGTCCGACGTCCGTCGTCGGTCCCAGTACACGCCAGATCGATATCGTAAGACCGAGCGAAAGAGGGATACAGAGAGAGAGAGAGGTAGGAAAGAAGCCCAATAAATTAATTTAAATACCGCATCCTCCAGTTATAAAATTATATGTTCTGTGGTTTTTCGAATTTCCCCCGTACCTACGTCGTCGGTCGGCGGGCGTCTGTTTCGGAGCCCTCGGAGAGGTTGTTTTTGGTGTTGTTATGCTTTCCACCTTGTGGTTATCCGGGTCAAATTCTGGGTGTAATTTTCGCCGCTGCTCCCCAGTCATTGCGTTCCTACTCGGTAGATGGTATCGCTTTCCATTTTGAGGGCTGCAGCACATAATGCGGGCCGGGGCGTCGGATTGGGCCCTATGGATTACGGATCGTTGTACGAACGTACCTCGAATGTGTACGAATGGTTCGTTCCGGACGTAGGTGGTTAGAACTGATTATTTGGAGTACGATGGTGTAGACGGGCGTCAGAAGAACAACAAGTGTTAGTTCTGCCCTTTGGTTAATTAGACACCCGTCGCGAGCCCTCTGATTAGTCCGGAATGAGTCTGCAGAGTGAGTCGGGTGCGCCGATGGAAATCCCCGGGCCGAGACTCGAACGAGAACGGGCATGGTGTTATTGAAAGAGAAAAGACGGGGCAAATCTGACACATTGGAAAATGCACCAGAACTGATTGATTTTTTTATTCCACGCTGTCCGCAACGGATGCTATTAGGGCAGCAAAAAAAAAAAAACTCATGCATGGACAGTGAAATGACCTCTCTCGCTGTCGTTCGAAATCTGACCGTTCCATTTCAAGATTCAATCAGCAAGTAGTGGAACAGGTGGCCAGGTGAAATGACATGGCACATGTATTTCGAAAATACATGGTCATGGTGGCACGCGAGACACAACAACAACAACAACAACAACAACACAATGGATCGATGCCAACGCCATGTACCAACTGATTATTTAACGGCGTGTCAGATCAGACAGGTTAATGAGTTCAAGGTGAATGGGATTTAGCGGTGAAATTGCTTTCGATAACTTCAATAACAGTGCGTGGCGAAGTTCTTGGGTAGGGGTTTCCAGAATGTCAATTCCAACGAGCTTTCATCCGTTCATATTCTAAAGCGTTTCTCTTTTCTTTCGTTCATATTTTTTCCAGAAATTCGACACCAGCAGTTCCGGTTGAACATGTCCCGCGACTACGACCTGATGGGCGTTCCCCAGGATAACCCCGCGCTGGTGAAATACGTTCGGGACATTCACATGAAGAAGTACCCGATGACCTTCATGCGCAACGCCAACGTCCCAATGGAGCATCTGAACTTTACCAATCGACACGAACTGACGCCGGAGATGGCGCACTTCATTTCCGACCTGTTGGGCAAGAAACGTTTCGGAACGTTCTTCCAATCGCTAACCGGAATCAGCGATTCCATGATGACGGCACCGTGGTTAGCGGAAACCATGAACTGGGGAGGCTACCTGGTGGAACCCGATCCGCGAAAGTACTTTTCCCTCCGCAAACAGAACGCGTTCCGTCCCAACGTGCAAGTGATTCATGCCTGTCTATCACCGAACACTTACCCCAAGGAGGTTAGTACGCGATGACATCGAATGATTGATTGACGGTCGATTTGTTTGTCTGGGTTTTAAGCTATCGGCCTCACGCCCTCTACCCTTTACCGTAGGTTACGCTCCACCACGATGACGACAGCGAGGTGCGAATCAACAGCGTGCTGGACGAAGAAACCGAGTGGTTCCACCCACGTGTCAAGTGCTTCCCGGTGTACACGCTGATGTTGGCTGTGAACAGGACCTCGATTGATTTGCTCAGCCTCGGCTGTCAGGGACAGGAACTACAGGTAGGAGGATAATTGCTATAATAGAATACAACCGTCGCACTAAAGGGCGATTTCCGCCGTCGCAGCGGATGTCGGTTTTGAGGGTGGTAAAAGGTGTTATCATGCAAGTTAAGCTTTATTCGAAGGCTATGAGAATGGTTCCAGAAGGGAGGGGGGAGGATAGTTAAATCGATTTTTGTTTTCAAAGTGTCCAAGCTGAATTGAGCGCAAATTTCCCATGATGTGATGTTGTGTGTGAACGATGGTAACGTCGGAGAGTTCTAATGAAATACTGATAAATGTATAATACCATTTCCTGTTACAATGTAGTTTCAATGTAAGTTTTTATGTAGGATTTTGGTTCTGGCTATGGCCAATTCTTAATATGATGATGTTATAAAATCAAGAATTGGCATATATCGGGCGAAGAATCTTTGTCTGGTCACAAGCAAAACGTATTAGATTATGAAGTAAATCAACAGCTCATTGAAAAAATAAAGAGATCCCGGAAAAACTAACTGGGAGCAGTATAAATCAAAACTTATAGTTGGAGTAAACAGCTTGAGAGGATGTTCAAAAACATACATTGAACTCGATAAACATTCTCAACAACTCTCTGACTTAATTCAACAGGTTTATTACGATAGCTGTCCTGCAAAGGAACGTTCTACCAATAGAGATGTACCTTGGTGGAATAAAACTTTACAGAAACTTCGAAAGAAAGCCCGGAAACTATTTAACCAGGCAAAAAATAACAAAGCAATGGGATCAATATAGAGAAGCCCTTACAGCTTATAATAGGGAAATTAGAAGATCAAAAAGAAAGGATTGGAGGGATACATGTGAAAACATTGAAAATACTCCAATTGCTGCTAGATTGCAGAAACAGGGTGGCCAGCGAACCGGGAATACCGGGAAATATCCGGGAATTTGAAAAGTAACCTTGAAAACCGGGGAAAACCCGGGAATTCGATGAGAGAACCGGGAAAAATAAATTAATCACACCATAGGAATACATTTTCACACCAGAATTTCAGAATAAACCATTAAAACAGAGTGATTTTTTACCAAATGAATGTCTTTCTCTATTTGCTGCAAAATTTTCTTCAGATGTTCTTAGAATTTAATCACTCAGCAATATTTCAAATTGATTTTGGCGATTCAATTTCAGATGTAAAGTGCATGAGCCTTAAAACAAAATATTGAAGATGCTGAACTTAAGAAACAAATATTTTGTAAAAACTGAAACTGAACTATTCTTTTCCCGGGTTTTAATTTTATTAAAAATTCTCATGGTATGAATTTCAAAATGAACTTGGAATTCTGTTCTTAATTATTATAGAATTCTTTTAAAATTAACCAGAAAACACTCTGCGTAATAATTACCATTGAATTCTTTTTGGAATTTCCTTGAAACCCTTTCTAAGAAATTGTTTGGAATCCGTCTTAGAATTCCCTTAAACCTATTGGAAGACTTTGATTTCATTGAAATCCTTTTCAAAATTTCCTTTTAACTCTAGAATAAATCTTTCGAACTTTGGAATTATTTAGAAACCCCTTGGAGGATGTTAAAGAATTTCTTTCTAATTATTAGCAATTTTTTTGCAATAAATTTAGTTGGAGGTCTTTGATCATTTACACTAGGGTTGAAATTTCGCCAGAACACTCTTAGAACTCTGTTTCTTGTTGAATTCTCATCATAATTCTCTTGGGATTCTTCAAAAATTACCTAATAATTTAATTTAGAACTTGCAATCTTCTCAACAGAAATCCCTACAAATTCTTTTAACTTTTTCTAAGGACTTCATGTCAGAATAATTCTGGAATTCTGCTCTGAACTTCTCCTTTGAAAACTATGTTGGATCCTACTCAATAGTTTTTTTTTAAATCATCACTTTGAATACTTTTCAATTTTACTGAAATATCCAGGGCTTGTCCGCAAGATTCTATCGAATGTAATGTAATTTGTTTTAACTCTTAAAATACTTCCAAGTCTCAGAGCAATTATGACTGCACGACTATTTAATATATATGATATAATTTTTTCAAATCAGTGATCTTGGAAAATTTTTAAACTCCCACATTTTTTTCTCCAAATCTTGCATCACGAAGATTGTTATTAATCCCAAATTTTGAAGAAAAGTTATATTTTCAAACCCACACAAATTTCAAAGCCCCACCCTAATAAAAATAACCATAAAAGAGAGCTTAACGACGTTTTCGGGGTATCATCCAAACCATTTTTTTGGATAGTTTACCCATCCGGCATACAGTTCGTGTATAGTATTTGTTTATTAGGGCAGAATCTTGGGAATCTATCTTTATCTCCATCGATTAACTTTTCTTTTGATTTTTGAAGTAAATATATGTATAAAACTACCCTAAAATTTTGGTTTGATTCTAAACATTATAAGAAAATTGGCATGACATTTTCGGTGTCGCAATAATTTCGTGTTCGCCCTTTAAATCCAGACTTTCTGGAGTAGTATTGGAAAAAAATCCGTAAAGAAACATTGACACCTATCCCGAGCAAAGTCAGAGATCAAATTGAAATCTAAATTTGATGTTGTGATTTCTCTAATAATGATTACTCAGGTTGCTGTCGTTTTGGTCGTTTTAACGGTTAAAACTATTTCTGCTATCAGTGAGAGCAAACTGAAAACTAAATTTGATATCCATTTTTCCTGTTGATAACAAAACAAGTATTCAATTTGATATTATGCTAAGGCAATGAAAACAAACCCGCAACAACATATTTTTGAAGAGCAAATGTACAGCAAAATGAAAACAAAATTAGGTATCAACCCAAGCAATCCAGCATCAAAATGACAGCAAATTGAAATCAAGTTTTGATATCAACATCAAACTGAAATCCTAATTTGATTTCAGTTAATGCAATTGACAAATTTTGTTTTCATTTTGCTGTACATTTGCTCTTCAAAAATATGTTGTTGCGGATTTGTTTTCATTGCCTTAGCATAACATCAAATTGAATACTTGTTTTGTTATCAACAGGAAAAATGGATATCAAATTGAGTTTCCAGTTTGCTCTCACTGATAGCAGAAATAGTTTTCAATGTGATGTCACAGGAAGATTTTTTTGCTCTCAATTTTGATATTTTAACTGTTAAAACGACCAAAACGACAGCCACCCGAGTAATCATTATCAGCGAACTCACAACATCAAATTTAGATTTCAATTTGAGCTCAGACTTTGCTCGGGAAATTTGTCAATTGCGTAGACTGAAATCAAATTATGATTTCAGTTTGATGTTCATATCAAAACTTGATTTCAATTTGCTGTCATTTTGATGCTGGACTTTGCTCGGGATTCTCACAGATATGTTTAAAGCAAGCTTAACATTAAGCTATTTTCCAATAACCCGGCCTCAAGTTAAGGTTATATTTATTCAAAAGGCTAGTAAAAATGATAAAACGTCTCCTAAATCCTTCAGGCCGGTTAGGCTATCTTCTATTATGTTGAAGACAATGGAGAAAATAATAGATGAGTATAAAAAGTCAAAGTACTTGGTTACAATTCCTTTAAATAAATATCAGTTTGCATATCAAACTGGTAAATCAACAGTAACAGCTCTTCATACGCTGGTTACAAAACTAGAAAAAATCATTAGAATCAAAAGAAATTTCGCTAGCAGCGTTCGTTGATGGGGGCCTCCATTAACTCAGTCGGTGAAGGGGCAGCTACAAAGCAAGACCAGGGCTGGGTTCAGTTCCCGGTCCGGTCTAGGAATTTTTCGGGTTGGAAAATTTCTCGACTTCCCTGGGCATAGAAGTATTATTGGACTTGCCACACAATTATACCAATGCAAAAATGGTACAGGCATCGAAAGCTCTCAATTAATAACTGTGGAAGTGCATCTAGAACACTAAGTTGAGAGCACGTAATAAGCTAATATGCGATATGCAATAAGCTTGAAATGCGAAGAAGAAGAAGAAGCGTTCATTGATATTGAAGGAGCATTTGATAATGCATCTTATCACTCAATGAAAAACTTTATGATGAAACACGAGTTCGATAAAAGCATAGTTAGTTGGATTAACGAAATGCTTAGCAAAAGAGAAATCTCAGCAAACCTTGGAAGCTCATCCATAACAGTTAGAGCTGTAAAAGGGTGTCCTCAAGAAGGTGTTCTTTCACCTCTACTGTGGTCTTTAATAGCTGATGACCTTCTCAAAAACTTAGAAGCACAGGGCTTCGAGATTATTGGCTTCGCAGATGATATAGTCTTATTAGTGCGTGGAAAATTTGACTATGTCATGTCAAATAGAATGCAAATTGCTTTAAATTATGTTTCATCGTGGTGCACTAGCGAAGGATTGAATATTAATCCATCTTAAACAACTGTTGTACCATTCATACGAAGAAGAAAAAATGTCCTTAATAATATTAAACTGAAAGGAATAATTTTTGAACTTTCAAACACAGTGAAGTATCTGGGAGTTACTCTTGACAGCAAACTAAATTTGAATTCGCATATAGAGCAAGTCATCAGTAAAGCAACAAATGCTCTTTGGATAAGTAAAAAAAACTTTTGGTAGGAAATGGGGCCTAAAACCTAAAATGATCCTTATTTGACGATTGATCCATAGACCCAGAATAACCTATGCATCATTGGTTTGGAGGCCTAAAACCAATGAAAAATCAGCTCAGAAGAAGCTGGGGAGGCTGCAAAGACTAGCCACACTCTCAATAACTGGTGCAATGAGCAGCGAACACGAAATTATTGCGACACCGAAAATGTCATGCCAATTTTCTTATAATGTTTAGAATCAAACCAAAATTTTAGGGTAGTTCTATACATATATTTACTTCAAAAATCAAAAGAAAAGTTAATCGATGGAGCCTTGAGTGTAAAATTGAACGCATTTTCGCTTGATGCCCTCCATCAAAGTCTTTACAGTGTCATCCGGTACCAGTTTCTCAGTTTTTTTTTCCATTTTCTTAACATGTCCTTCTCGTCTTTGACTGTCTTCTTGCTCTTCCGAAATTCCCGCTTCAT